CAAGGATAAAGGCTGCACAGACATGATTGACTGCATCACCCAGACGAGTAAGGAGATAGCATAATTTTGTCCTGGTAGAAGAGAATGGAATTTCACGACTGTTTTAAGTTGTGCGAATGAGTATGACCAGATGATCTCCACGCTTTTATATCAGCGTGGAATCTCCAGAAGAGTATTTCCATCCTTGCACCCTCTTGTATCCTTTGGTCTGAGGCCAAAGTCTGCCTTGCTGGGTATCTATGGGCAGCCCTCTGGCTGGGATGGCCAAGGATATGCCAAGAGTCGTTGCAATGTCTTTATCACCAGGGTGGATTATACCAGTCAGTGGAACTCTGTGGTTCCAGTCAGAGATACAACAGAGGGTTAGTTGTTGACCCGACCACACTAGAAGGCGATGGGACGACGATGTTTCGGTCCGTCCTTGACCATTCTCAAGTCGATTGTTAGAAATTTATCAACCCAATCGACTTTAGAATGGTCCAGGACGGACCGAAACGTCGTCGTCCCTTCACCTTCTAGTGTGTGGTCTGGTCAACATACTTCAGCCACGTTATTGTGACTCCGTCTGCAGAGGGTTAGTTTCGTGCTCCCAGGACAGAAGGCTTCACTCACACGTTAAGGCAGTTCTCCTAACCTCCTTGGTACTTTTCCATGACATGAAACAGACAAAGATTACTTGTGTATGGAATTATCTTTGGTTTAGGCATTTGTTTATCAGCCATTTGTCTATTCGTTCACAGGATCATTGGACAAAGGGAAACTAGACCAAATGATGTACTTTTTCTGACTGGGGCAACCCAGCCAATACAGTGCAGCAAGCACCGAATTGACAGAACCCATCAACGGCATCAACTGAGTGAAAACATGAAGCCAGGGAGTCTCCTCTAACCTTGTCTGTATGTGATAATGATAAAACTAGTACTCCAAGCAGACTTGGATAACTTACGACTTCGACAAAGAATTTTAAGGATTACCCAGTTTGCACTCCTAACTCTTCCATAAGGAACCCAGGATACAGCAGAAAATTTATACATGTCGAATGAAAGAATAAAAGCTTCATTTAATAAAGTTAGATGGCAAACAGACCGGAGACAACGACAGGCCCAGACCAAGAGGCTAAGAGGAGGAGACGCCCAGTCACCAAGACCAGTTCCACAACAAAGTGGCTATAGCTACAACTGAGACCATGGGATGACCTGCGGGTATTTGATAACAGTGGCTACCTTCACCCCCCCCCCCCCCCAAGAGCACGCTAAGGTTCTTCCCCTAAAATAGAAACCAGGTCATCTGCTTGAACACTATGTCACAAGCAAGGGAACGATCGCTAAGTGTAACACTGGCCTCAGAGGAGCATTAAATTTTGAATAAACACTACGGGCGAGAGAATTAGAGGAGAGCTACAGAAGAGACGGCGACTACGGGTACAACGGAAGAAAGGTATTGGTACAACAACAAGGAGGTAAAGTCCCATACAAAAGATTTAGTTACTTCGAATATTCTCTCCTGCAAGTGTTACGACCTGGTTGGTCTATGTGATAATAAACAAGCCATTTGGGGCATTCCTGATCCTACAGCCAGAGACTGAAGTACACAACCCACTTTTTGTCGGCCCTAAACCCAAGCACACCAGGAAGGCTGCCAGAGCACTGGCACAATTGTTTGTATTAAATTAAGGATAAAATTACGGGAAAACTAAGGGAAGGTGGCGTCTGTAGGACCACAAATAAGGCACTAATAACAGTGCCTCGTATATGTAACTGAGGTCACCCTCTTCAGAGTGGACAACAATTCGTACTGCCAGATTAAAGGGACGATGATCGGAGCAAGTGTTAGTGTTGCTGTGATAAAAATATTTATGCATGCAACATTTGACGGCCTCCACACACTATAGTGAACACCAGCCACACTAATCAACTCGTCCTCAGGCTAGGCTCGTTAGAGCAGCGGCCATCCCACGAGACGTTCATAAACTTTAACACCGTAATAAAAACATTTGTTCCCATAATTTATTATACCATAAAATTCAATGTATATTAGGCGTACATTATGTGATTAGACTTTTTGGCGATTTGTGTTAGTAGTCCACTAGTGAAGCATTTACAGACTTGCTATTCGAGAAGCTGATGTCAGTGAAGCACTGTTCAAGAATAGTTCATGCCTCGCTCAGACCGTCTCATCAATAAAAGACAAATGATTGTTAATCCAGCCAACGAACTTCTTGTTTATCAATGAAAAACAAGTTTACACGCAACTTTAGTTTTTATTCCATCCAGTGGTCGACACTAAAGGCGCATTCATATAACACGCTGTTCATTAAAAATAGGAATTCTCAAATACATGTTATTATTTTTATATGTTAGCATACTTTGCATATTTAGGCATTGTTTAAGTTAGGCATTTAGTTTCTCATGGTGATTATTTGTATCTGTAATACGTGGGTGAAGCATTTACAACACTGGTTGAAACAAAAGTCGTCAGTGAAGCACTGTTCAAGAAATGTTTGAACGTCATCAGTTGTGAGTCATGTGTAAACCATTTTTCCATTCATAAAGAGGAGGTCTGGCAGATGTATCGAATGGACCTTAACCTTTCTTTATGAGGACGAGCTGTTACACAGCTCAACTGATCACGTTCGAACATTTCTCGAGCAGTGCTTTGCTGATGACCGCTGCTCAAATCCCAAAGCTATAACTATCATCAAACAGTTCTAATACAATGATTTTTCTTCCCGAGAATCTGAGTCAAAGGTATATTTAGCGAGCAAAATAATCTGGGTAAAGCCTTGTAGGAGCTCTGGGAGAGTCCTTAAAGCAAGAGGCTGCCCCGCATCTTCCATACAAGAAGCAGCCAAGACACTGGCTCCTCTCCAGCGACACCATCTTGTACGGGAACAAACATCCAATCTATAGAGGATGGTTCTACGTAAGTAATATATTTCTACAGCTTCAGGAAGCATCCGAAAGGAAGTTAACAAGCTCTAGTCTGGGATGAAGGAAACCATCGGCGAACATCCGGCCTAGAACTTGCTTCCTTCGGAGCCTTCTTTGTTAGCTTGGGAAAAAGGAATATCCCCCAGTGACATTAGTAACGGCTCCTTTCCCAGCATAAACCATATGCCACTTGAGTATTCATAGCAGATCCGCCAGTTATTATATAATTTCTGCCCACAAAAATGTGGGGCACTTAGCACAAACAACAAACCAGGAACACCACGTTACCCCGTTCCGAAGACCCAGAAACGTTCACCTCTAACACTTTACAGAGCCTGCACAATATTTGTCGATTTGCAGAAATGCCGCAGCGTTCAGGGGCTACCAATACCTTGTCCAAGATGCGGATGATGGCCACGTAGCTGCAAGTGCTCAACCTCACGAAACTGTACGACTATCAGTATCGGGACTAAACCTATCAGCTAGATAGGTTTAGCCCCGATACTTCCCCTCACGCTAAAACTTTCCTCTTGCCAGAGTCTCCTTACCAAAGCTGAAGCATCACTTTCTTGGGTATTTTTATTTATATTTGATTGGACTGATGGGATAGAAGACAAACTAACAAGTATGGATGGAGAGAGAGGTGGGAGGGAGGGGAGGGAAAGAGGATTGATATGTAATCGAAATTGTTGGCGTAACATTAACCATATGATACACCACAACTAAATGTTCAAATTATGGGCCCGAAGATTTTTCTCCACTCTGAAGTGGTTAACATATGGAGTGCTTTAGACTACACCGATTAGAAGATAACCGCTTCAAGGTATAGTGTGTACCTACTAAAATTATTAAGACGTGTACCCTTCACCTATTGTACTTAGGCGCGAATATGTTTCCCATTACATAGTGACCAACTTCGATTCGAGAGAAGATTTTCAAAGTAACTTTAATCCCTCCATACCTGCAATGCGGTTGTATGAGACCAATTTCATGGGTCTGGTTAACCATACCTACAGTGCCATTGTACTGATGCACCCTCGTACATACCTGAAATTTCACATTAAACATATCAATACTAAATTGAACATCTTCATGTAAAGTTTGAGAAATATCCCGCAAGACAATATCAGGTCAGACATTGGTTGAGCTAAAAAGACTTACCACAGAATGGCAAAACCCAACCTCAGACTTTACTCATCCACAGCCCGTTCTCAACACAACGGCCAAGTGGTTGTTAACCCGGCAGCCAAACATGAACGTGAAGAACGCTTCACATTTAACTTTTCAGTCTATGCTCGTTCGTGCACTGACCCACAACAGTTCATACATTTTAACACACTTTTTAAAATAGTTTTTGATATATGACCTATTATATATTAGTTATTAGGCGAGAGAGACAAGGGTCGGAATACACTCGTGCGATATAATTTCATTCAACAACTATTCTAGACCTATATACAATTAATATTTACTTATATTCTACAAAATATAGTACTTTGTTACACAGGACGTTAATGTTAATTAAGGCGTCTCTGGGGTTGGCTGCAGCGTGGACGACACTGACTCAGGATGGCTAGTTTCATTCACATAGGATGAGCGGGGGGAGGGGGTTATGTGACGGGTTGCTAGATTAAAAGTCTTTGGTCCATATTTCAAGGAATGAAATCTGATAGTTCACAAGAAACACCTTATAACTGCCAGAATTTAATTATAATAATTTTGTAAACATTTTTCCACCTGCGTTTGGTCGAGCGGTCAATTTCACGATAAGGTTGACACTCAAGTCGCTGATGTGGAATAGATAATCACACAGTAGTCGTTTTAGAATTTAATTTTGTTTTAATAAGTTTCATCAAAAGTCTTAAGCTAGGGCAAAAGTCTACCTAGACAAAGGTATATTACTCAATATCATTATCTTAACAAATGAGTAAACCTGAGCTAATTTAATTATTTTAAATAAAGCCTTAACATCTTGTAACTCTGCTTATATATAAAATCAGCAAATATAGACTATTCTACCAACAGAATACAATGTGATAAAATAACTAACCATCTAGAGTAACTTGCCAGTAAGCCTGGCGCAGGTAACCTCATGCACACGACTGTCCAGGTGACTAATTTAGTAAAACCAATGAGGCGGGCGCTGAGCAGCACCTCTCCCCACGCCGGCCCGCGCCACACTGCCCGCCGCGCCTCTTGACTAGCTTGGCTTGCAACCCGTTCTCGCAAATTCGTAAAGTCAATATTGACTTATTAACTACGTGCATAGGTGATATACTAAACATAATAGATACCCTTAAAAAGATTCATAGAAAACACCGACCTTACCTAACCTTGTTAGTATCTTAAGATAAGCATCTTATTGCTTCGTAATTACAATTATTACTTAACCTATACCTATTATAGGTTAGGTAATAATTGTAATTACGAAGCAATAACATGCTTATCTTAAGATACTAGCAAGGTTAGGTAAGGTCGGTGTTTTCTATGAATCTTTTAAGATACCTATTATGTTTAGTATGTCACCTATGCACATATTTAATAAGTCAATATTGACTTATTAAATTTGCGAGAACGGGTTGTGGCTTGATGGGTCAACTACCTGTGACGTCATTCACCTCACCTGACATGAGGCCGCCTCACATACAAATAATTCACAAGTAAAGTCACTTCAACAATATTAATATAGAGTTTATTTCTATTAATGTGAAGTATGAGCATGTGTGAGTATGTATTAAAAGCACATACTTCACTACTGGACATTAAACCCACTACCACACCCACCTAGTAGCTTGGAACGCCTTCTGTAACGCCTTCTGTAACTTATGTTAGGGTCTAGGCCAGGGGCCAGGTACAGCAACCGGTTACGGTGTTCAGCGTCCTGTGTGTGTGTGTGTGTGTGTGTGTGTGTGTGTGTGTGTGTGTGTGTGTGTGTGTGTGTGTGTGTGTGTGTGTGTGTGTGTGTGTGTGTGTGTGTGTGTGTGTGTGTGTGTACTCACCTATTTGTGCTTGCGGGGGTTGAGCTTTGGCTCTTTGGTCCCGCCTCTCAACTGTCAATCAACTGGTGTACAGATTCCTGAGCCTACTGGGCTCTATCATATCTACATTTAAAACTGTGTATGGAGTCAGCCTCCACCACATCACTGCCTAATGCATTCCATCCGTTAACTACTCTGACACTAAAAAAGTTCCTTCTAACGTCTCTGTGGCTCATGTGAGTACTCAGTTTCCACCTGTGTCCCCTTGTTCGCGTCCCACCAGTGTTGAATAGTTTATCCTTGTTTACCCGGTCGATTCCTCTGAGGATTTTGTAGGTTGTGATCATGTCTCCCCTTACTCTTCTGTCTTCCAGTGTCGTAAGGTGCATTTCCCGCAGCCTTTCCTCGTAACTCATGCCTCTTAGTTCTGGGACTAGTCTAGTGGCATACCTTTGGACTTTTTCCAGCTTCGTGTGTGTGTGTGTGTGTTTCCAGCTGTGTGTGTGTGTGTGTGTGTGTGTGTGTGTGTGTGTGTGTGTGTGTGTGTGTGTGTGTGTGTGTGTGTGTGTGTGTGTGTGTGTGTGTGTGTGTGTG